ATTTACAAACACATGCAGATCACGTGATGCATAATGAAATGAATATGTGATATAGTGGATGTGTTCGTGACTCTAGCGAGCTACATTTCAACAATGACCAATAAATTGACAGTCAACATAACAGTCAGAGCAGATCACTTTTTATAGCTTTACTTCATGGCATAAAGATCATCTGTGCAGGATATGGAAAAACCGGTACTAAATCAATGGCCAAAGCTTTGCGGTACCTTTGGGTTTACGGTGTTCGACTGGGAAGAACAAACGTTTGACTTTCTAGATCACTGGGTTGATGTTTTTCAAAATGGCGCCAAACCCGCCTGATTAATATAATGATTTGAAGAAGTCGTAAGTTCGCCAGTAGCTTGTAACGAAGATAATTGTTTAAAAGTCGGAATGATATGATCTATTTTCTTATAAAATTTATTTCTTAGAATAGAGTATTTATTGCAATATATAAGAAAGTGAGATTCGTCTTCAATTTGGTTAGATGCACAAACAGGGCAGAGTCTGTTAACCCTTGGAATTTGATCACATCTAATCGCTTTTGCGAATGTTTTGGATAGTTGTTCTCTTGTCGGCATGTTGGATGACCCAGAGTTTCATGATTTGGTTTTAACCTTCATTTCAGTGCGTTTTAGTGAATAGCTGATGCCTCTAAACGCCTCCCAGTTGTTTCCATCGGCATAAGAAGAATGTGGTCCGTTCAGGTATGAACCGTTGAGATTGGAGGTATGGCAAACACTATACCACCAACTTCCTTTAAAATTTTGTGCGCAGTTGTCATTAGCTTGGTCATAGTCTTTATCTTTCGTAGAAAACTGCATACCACGAAAAGAAAGGAAGAGATTAGAAACTTACTCTGAATTCGTGCGTCTTGAAGTAAGGACCTCAACTTTCAATGTCGCATCGTTTGCACTGCTCTTGCAAACTGTCCCCGCTACAACATAAAAATAAACCACCTTCTGCCTCCTGTGCTCTAGTCTAAGTATTATTCCAGCAACATTCGTTCAATACGCACCCCTGTCCAAACGTCTCTGAAAAACTTTCCAACCTTCACCGTCCGTGGTCATGTCGCACAACAGTTGTATTGGTTTGCCGCCCGATCTGGATTCACCCGGTAGTTGTGTAGACGCCGCTGGAGGTGAAACCATTTTCAAGCTCGCTACAGTTTTTGTGTTACATTTACACTTCTGGATGGATAAGGGCTTTTTAATCCCGGGGGGGTACTTTGGGAATTTCTGGGTGGAGGTGTGCCGCTGGGACCCTGGAACCCTTGGCCTATACCAGAGCTAGTTCAGCTGAATTTTGCTACCCTATACTAGAGTAAACTCCCCAAATCCCCCCATCTAGCGACATTGTTGAGGCTGATTTGCGTAAATTTAAACTTGCCGATTTGATTGTTTTATATTTTTGAGTGACAATTCCTGGTTTCCTTAGTCTAGATAAAATCTTCAACCAACTAGTCAGTTTTGTGAAAAATTATACCCTATTCTAGACCC